GCCTATGGGGTGGGGGGATTTGAATAAGTTAAGGCTCTGTGGAATTTGAGAACGGCATAAATTAAGCAACGCATTTCATAGAGACGCTATACTTAAATATCAAGCAGAATACTTGCGAGGATTGGTGCTTAGACCTTCTTTCAACTCTGCAACGGCAGATTGCTTATTCCCCCAGACATTCCAAAATGATATTCTATATGTAAAAAGTAGATTTTGTTCTTATACACTTCATAAGAAAAACTTTAAACACCCTCTCAATCCTTTCACATATGTTGAGGAGAAAAATATATTTTTATCAACAGACTTCGGTTAAACACTTCAAGGACCTGCCAACCCTAAGGTATCTGATATCCACAATGTCAGTTGACTGCTTTCGAGTATATGATGTGCTTTCAGCCCATCTAATTGCCTAATTGAAATATATTCTGCAGTACTTCTCCCACACTTGAATTGATAAGTTTTAGTTGTTGCTCAATGGTACTAAGGCAAGGTTGAATATATAAAAATATTTTTTACCATTGATTTTCCTTGACATGCTCTATAAGGAGCGATTCAAAGTTCTTCATTTAAAACAGCGCATATCAGCATCGATCTGCACCCTCATGCTGTGACTTTCATTCTCGAGTGATCTTGGTTACACATGCCAAATTATGCTTCAAACGTGCATCATGCGGAAGAATCATCACTTCAAAGTAATTGGGCCAAATCCGTCGGCCCATCGATATGTTTGCTTAGGCTTTGAAGAGAATACATGAATATTCTATGTATATAGAATACATAAGTACATTTCAGTGTGTATGTCGTTTAATTCGTAAGTCTTTCGTCTGATGATATTGTCGGTTGTTTCTAAGCATTATTTAATAGAAACGTTTGTTCCAGCGAGTAATGTACTGAATTGACGAGTACCAGTCATGGGAATATATATTGTCAGTTAATTAGATGTACTTAAAATTTTGGGGCAACGGCACTTACCTTGCTGATCCTCAGTGATTGCTGCTGAAGATTATCTTATGCTCTCTGGCCGTTTCTGGGGTCTTGGCCTCGTGTCGAGAGTGAATACTTGCTGATCAGGTCACATCTGTTTAATTTAATAATTGCTTAACTTAAAAGGGGTGCATATGTTGATTGCACTGGGCAATATGCATTGATTTGTTTGCTTAGATCAGATTTTGAAACTGTACCGTAAATAATTTTCATCAGCACATAGGACTGCGTACAAACTGAAATATGGATATCTCCAATGGCAAGTGACATCAGCCGTTCATCGTCACGACGACATCCGCGTTCGGCGTCTGACAAGCCTTGTCCATCCAAAAACGGAATTGAAGTTATTTTGCTATTATTCACAGATATCTCCCGCCAGAAATCGCCATTAACCTCCCTCCAAGGGTTCATCCTCTGATCAGTAAGAGGATGACATGATGCAAACAATTTTTACCATACTATTATCAGGATTTATTTAGGGCAATGAGCCCAATTCTTTCGTTCTGGAAAATACCACCTTCGTTAGACGTGCCGATTTGGCTTTGTATCAGTGAAATCCACATCGCTGTCAATAGCAGCAGTGAAAGTTTGTATTTATATTAAATTACTGTTTCTAAACGACTGCCGCTTCGTGAATCTTCTTGGTGCTTTGATATGGCGCGTTATTGTCTATATCCTCCAATGCAGTCATTCTAAGCAACGACGTGTTTGCATTTTTCCAAACGTCTAAGAAAACGTTGAGTCCAGTTCAACTCACAAATCGATAAAGGGGAAAAGGTAGGTGTGTTTATAGTGTCTCGCTTCCAGAAAAGGTCGCCGCTATTCTCATCATAGCATGAAAAGAGTCTGAATTCTGATTTGGACCAATGTCTGAAACTTGTTCTGCTTGTTCTCATTGGTATCGGCACAATGTATTCAGTTATGGAATAACTCACTGACAAATTCTTTATTAACTAGCCGACAAGAGCAGTATGCTAGCGCCACCGAGGTCTTGGGCATTTTATGTGATTATCTAAATAAGTGTCTGGTGATAGACACCTCATTCAAATATATAACTGATTCAATCGGCGTATCCTGTTACCCGCTGACCTCAGACATTCTGCAATGAACATAGAGAACACAGCTTCTGCTCAGTAGAGAAAATAGCACCCTGGACCATTCAAAAGACAATAACACGGCAACGTTTTAGACAGATAGATTGTGAGCAATATGACGCTTCTGCATGTTCACTCATGGTTAAATAAGGCTAATAATTGTAGTCCTTTTGAACGAGTTTGCAGTCAGAGTTTCCTCCTCTCAAGCATATTCGATTTGAAGATATAAGAAGATCTTTAACCAATTATTTACCAATGCTTCATTTGCTGCCATGACGGATGTCTGTTGCTAAAGCTCCCTTTAGTAGAGTGGTTGTTAGTCCGCTTCGATACCGTAAGGCAGAATTGCCTAGATTTTGAAGACAATATTTATAGCTAGATGATATCTATAGGGTGTAACTTCCTGTTACTTTCGCACACGAAGCAGAAAAATGAAAAATGAAAGTTTGTAGCCACTGGGATGTCAGCCTTCCTTACACATTCATGTTGGAGCAATTTCCGGTGCACTTCTTTTCATAAAGTTACTGGTGGGGCGTTGATCCCAATTTCTATGTCACTAGCCAGGAATCATTTATTTTCTTTTAAGGCAGAGTCGATAGCAGCTATGTGACAAACATGTTCCGCTTCCTTCCCACGTATTGGTAGGCATCTTTTCACTTCAGAAAGAAGAATAGCGAGTGATCTGAGCC